TTCAAAGTTTTGGGGTGTGGACCATCGGGGGTAGTCCGTTCCTGACTTTGTAGCAAAACAACTGACTCCTGCATGAAAGCTCATCGAAGGAATTCATTTGTTTAGTCAATTACCAAAATTTGGATGATTTTGAATATTCACTTGAAAAGTTATCAAAGAAAAACATTTTTCATTTTGTAACTTCGAGGGCCCGTAACTTGGTTACGAAGACTTTTAGGAAAAAAAGTTATATGAAGTACTGGTGATATTTTGACCCCATCTATACATTCCCGAGAGGAAAAGAGGAAGTCCAGGGACACCCTGTATATAATACGTTAGCCATGTGTTTATAATTTGTAAAAGCTCATGGCTTTACATTTTAGTCAAGTCTTATAAGATTGGAATTTTATCTTGTTAACTTGTATATATTTTTTTGTGAATCTAATTTATCTACAAGCATTTTTTTGAAACTATATTGACAAATCTTACCCTCTCAAACCTATTTTAGAAATTGTATTGACATGTCTAAAAACTGTGTGTTTCTTGAGACTAATAAAAATTATTATTATTATAAACCCACGGGGAAAACGCAACAATATGAAGGCATACAGCAACACTCTATTTGTGAAAGATTCATTCAACTCAGTCAATATATAAAAAAAATCGACAATTACTACCGATTTATTAAGGAGACTAATGAATAACCATGCAGAGTTGTTACAGCTTCTTATTACCTAAATTTATTTTTTAATTGTCGTTACAGCACCATTGTTGTTAGAAAATTTTTGAATGTTTAGTTCAATCCTAAATGTTGTATAGAATTTTTGAGAAATATATGAATAATGCTTTATATCCTAAGAAATAAAAGTACTCAGTGAAGATATGAATTTCTCAGGTTATTCCTCTGGTAATTTTCAAGAAATGTTGGTACTCCACAGTTTTTTGTTTCAGTTGATGAAAGAAAAAGTAAGCATGAGTAGAAATCGAGAAAGGGATCGCATTGCCAGACAGGTAAACTCCCTAGCACTCCCTATATTTTTTTTTGTAATTATTATATCATTTTCAGCCTCTATTAGATAATAGCCCGGTGAGAATCACCAACTCTCACAGCTCTACAAAGTATTCAAAGCTGGAGAATGATCTAGACAGTCCGCAGCGGCAGTTTTTGAATGAAACTCTCAATCAGCAGCAGTACCTGACCAAGCAGCAGGAAGAACACTTGGAAGCGATTGGTGATTCATTGGGATCGTTGAAGACAGTTTCGAGGCATATAAGAGTTGAGTTAGATGAACAAGCAGGGTTAGTATAAAATGTTTTTCAGTCAACAACTACTGAAACATTTCTTACGTTCTTTTGAAGAAAACAAAACAGTATTTCACCCTCGATTCAAAACCTTACCAGATGAAATTTCAACATTTTTTATACCTCCCATTTCAAAGTGGACCGCAAATCAAATATAAATGATGAATCAACATATTCAATTATTGATAACTGCCAGTTACGTTCAAAAAGCTCGATAGTTACTGATACATTTGTTTTTTAGAGGTTTTTAAAGTCTCTTGGTATATTAGTTAGGCAATATGAGATGAAAAACTTAGTTTGAATAATTTTTGCAGGAGGTTAAAGGATTGCAACCCCGAGAAAATAAGTATATCCTTAAATTTAGTTAGTTAAGTCAATCTCCAAGTTCAAAATTCAGAGTTTATTTCGATCTCAATAACTTTTAACTCAAAGATACATCTTTCAGTTCCCTCTCCAGATGTTCTGGTTCACATATTCTCCCAGCCCGTTCCGTGAGAGTGGAGATGAGTCCTATCTTTTGGCTAGGATGGTGGTTCGATAGTGCGTGCAAGTATCTATCTGTGTGTGAGTTTTCGATACACTTTGTGGGTTAGTCTGGTACCACGTCGTACTATTAGTACATCTAAGAAAGCTATCCGTTGGTCTTGCTCAGTCTCCATGGTGAATTCTATTCTCGGGTGTTGGGCGTTCAAGTGGTTTAGGAAACGGTTCAGGGCGTCTCTTCCATGTTTCCAGATGACGAAGGTGTCATCCACATAACGTAGTCACAAGGTCGGCTTCAATTCAAAAGTGTCTATCGCCTTCCTTTCAAACGTTCTATGAAATAATTTACTATTACTGGGCTAAGTGGACCCCCCATCGCAACGCCATCTAGTTGCTGATAGAAGTTTCCCCCTTCTTCCTGTGAGACATGCTCTAAAGAGTTCGACGACGTCATTCGGGAACACGTGGGCTAACCCCCTCAGAGAGTCTTCCAGTGGGACAACGATAAACAAAAACACCACATCGAATGGAATGGAACGGAAGAACTGTTCAAAAGCCAATAAAAAAAGTGTCAAATTCACTGTTAAGTGCGTAAATAATCATTTGCTTACATTTCTAAAAGGAAATTACTCTTCCACGTTAAACAAAATTCACTCACACTTGGTTACAACCACTGTTGAACATGTAAAACCATATGACATTACGAAAAGTATTGGAGACTGGGATTTATAGTATGTTGGACAAGCAAGTTGTAAAACTCTTTACAGGTACCTGGCAAGTGTATTGATTAATCCAGTCCACAGCAATAATAATTGAAAATCTCTTTATATGGTTATAAATACCTTCCAATATCAATCAAATCTTACTCATTCATTATTAGTTTCGATTGGCTCAATTCAACAAAGTACAAAAAATAAATCAGTTGTTGAAGAAGATCCTTGTCAGAAATGAAGTTCTTTCAACTTTTTTATACTTTTGTTGTAAAAAAACTGTCATTATATTATTTTTATCACTTTGTAGCAGAAAATGGGGATTTACTCGAGTGTCATTGAGACATATTAGGTTGCAAAGCTTAGATGATAAGAAGAAAAAAATGTTTTTTTGGGAAAGTTTTTGGCTTTCTACTACTCCATCTTGATACAAAAAAATGATGAGGGAATCTTCCAAAGAAAGGAAGGAAGTAATCAATTTGAAAATAAGTAACTCTATACATGGATGTGTAGATCATGCAAAGAAGTAACTTTCAGACACAAACTGAAAAAAAATCCTCCTGAAACAGCTACTTTCATATAAACATTGAATTACAAGAAAAAAATTCTTTTGAAAAAAATACTTTTATATGAACACTGAATTATACAAAAGATACTTTTCTCTACTCAGTTTGTATTTCAAACATTCGTTGTGGAATAAAAATCAGATATCATTCACATGAGTTCTACTTTAAATGAATGGTAACAAATTGCACTTACATGGAACACTGTCATCCTCACTGGTATACATTGATGTTTCGCCTTAAGACACTTGCCACAAGGCTCTTCGGTACCAATTTGGATAACATAGAAAATACACACAATTCATTCATGAATTACGATTTCAAATTTATTACTTTCTTTCTTTCTTTCTTTGGAAGATTCCCTCATCCTTTTTTTGTATCAAGATGAAGTAGTAGAAAGCCAAAAACTTTCTTTCCCAAAAATTAATTACTCTCAAAAATATAACCCTTTCAATTCAAAAAAATGTTATATAATATATACCTTTTCATCGGTGGGGGAAACGGCTATAGATTTTTAAATATGTAAAAAAAAAACTGTTGCATGAACATTCTCGAGCGCGTCAGATATTGATAGCATCAATGTCCTACGTATTTTAATAATGTTGGTATGTTGATATGATCGTTTGCATGATGTGGGTGGTTGTACGTAAGGGTTAAAAGTGAAAAGAAAAAAAATCAATCGAGCGCGTCAGATTTTCTAAGGGGGTGTTAAGTGCAACAAAAAAAGCTCTCATTCAATAATCTGACGATTACGATCTGACGCAAACTCGCGGCCATTATTATAATGTGCAAAAAAAATTCGCCATTTTGAAATAATCAAGCGCGTCAGATTAAGATATATATGGTTCATCTTTATGTTTTAGACGTGCTGTCTCATAATCTGACGATTATCTAGAGGGATTCACTTAATCTGACAAAAATAATATTTTTTTTAAATTGTTTTCAATTCATTGAACTTCTTTATTTGAAAAGCACATTAAATGGCATGCAAATAAATAAGTGTATGTTTTTTTAAGTAGAATACTTGTATTTATAAGATAATAATTTTTTTAAAATGCTCAAAAAAAATTTTTTTTATAATCAATTTATTAAATGATCATCTTCATCTTCATTACGAACGAGTCTCTGTGATCAGCTGTGATGGCGTCATGGCAACAGAATTCAGAGTGGGGACGGAGTAAGAGAAATAGATAGAGAAAAAGTGAAAGAGGAATAGAAACTCGGAGAGGGAAATATAGGTATCACACAGCTGCACGCATTAAACTTAATCGACGAATTTTTGTTATTTCGGTTTGCGGAAATCGTCAGATTATGTATTTTTCATTATCCTTGAATTATTTCCTTCGAAATAAAAAAGAAATTAGCTACGCTCAATAATGTCGAAAAGACGTTATTTTTTTTAAACTTTGCTGCCCTCCCCTTTCTTTACGTCACTCTCAAATTGTCAGATCACTGAAATATACACTTTTCAACATGTAACTAACTCACCCTACCTTAATCTGACGCGCTCGATAATTTCTGGTGGTCGATTTTTTTTACTAATCTGATTCTTTATCCTTCACGGGCGGCCTTATATATGGAGCTCATATTTGGTGGAGGTACTTAACCGGGTACAAGGTATATCATTCATCTTTATGTTTTAGACGTGCTGTCTCATAATCTGACGATTATCTAGAGGGATTCGCTTAATCTGACAAAAACAATATTTTTTTAATTTTTTTTTTCAAATTCATTGAACTTAATTGAAAAGCTCAGGAAATAGCATGCAAATAAATAAGTGTATGTTTTGTATTGTATTGTATTTATAAGAAAATAATTGTAAAAAAATGCCAAAAAAATTTAATTTCTAATAATCAGTTGATTAATTAATGAAGAAAAGGGATATGAAACTTTCTATGTTTTTTACCACATTTATTTGTAACTAACGTTACTGCAGTTTCGTCCTTTATAAGGATGAAACTGTAACGTTAGTTACAAATAAAAGTGGTAAAAAACATAGAAAGTTTAATTTCTCTTTTCTTTATTATGATTTCCTACCACGTAGTAACGGCTACATCCATCAATTAATTGATTAATTAATCATCATCTTCATCAGGAACGAGTCTCTGTGATCAGCTGTGATGGCGCCATGGCAACAGAATTCAGAGTGGGGACGGAGTGAGAGAGTAATAGATAGAGAAAAAGTGAATAGAGAATAGAGGAATAGAAACTCGGAGAGGGAAATATAGGTATCACACAGCTGCACGCATTGAACTTTATCGATGAATTTTTGTTATTTCGGCTTGCGGAAATCGTCGAATTATATATTTTTCGTTATCCTTGAATTATTTTCTTCAAAATAAAAAAAAATAGCTACCCTCGAGAATGTCGAAATGACGTTATTTTTTTTACAACTTTGCTGCCCTCCCCTTTCTTTACGTCACTCTCAAATTGTCAGATTACTGGAATATACACTTTTCAGCAGGTAATTAACTCACCCTACCTTAATCTGACGAGCTCGAGAATTTCTAATGATAAATTTTTTTTACTAATCTGATCCTTCATCCTTCACAGGCGGCCTCATATATGGGGTTTATATTTGGTGGAGGTACTCAACCGGGTACAAGGTATCCCTCTGTATATTAATCTGCCGCGCTTTAGTAAATCCCGAAATCCCCGCTTGGGCTCCCCTATTATTGCTTGTGTGCAAGGGAAATAAGAAACAAATTCGGAGTTGAAAAAACTTACATGTTATTACGTTTCAGAATGTTGGATGAATTTGGGACCGAACTTGAAAATACTGATTCCAAATTGGATTCTACAATGAAAAAGGTTGCCAAAGTCTTGCGATTATCCAATGGTGAGTCTAATTCATAGTAATAAAGGAACGTGCAGGGACAGATATGACAAATATATTTTTGAACTCAATAAAATCACCAAAAATATTGAATTTCTCAAAATCATCAACGTGGCAAGTTTAATAGTCAAACCTGAAAATTCAATTTAGTTTTGATTATAGTATTTTAATTTTTCATTATTCTCAATATTTGTGTTATTTTCTTAAAAGTTTTTGTGTATGAATGTATCAATAGTTGTTGATTTGTGTGTTGAATTTCAGGTGAAAAATACCTCGAAAAATCCTCGTATTTCAATCTGTCAAACTTCAAACGTTCTTTTAGACTGTTTCAAAAGTTTTGTCCGTTTTTATAAGTCTACTTCAGACTGTAATATCTCAGTGAATTCTTATTCAATTCAATTTAAATAAGTACTATTTGAATCAACGCACTTTTGCCAACTTAACACAAGTCGATTCATTCCGTCAGCATAAAAATTGTGGGATTCGGTGAAGTCGACGAAGGCCGTTTTCCCCCGGTCCTGATTGGCGAAGGTTCTACCGGTGAGAAAGTTGTCGAAGTATTTGAAAGGATATTAGTCGATTGGCGAGAGATCTGGGGAATATGGTGGCTGAGGCAGAACTTCGACGCTCAACTCGTTTAATTTTTGGACGGTGATTTGTGAAGCGTGCGGACGGGCGTTGTCGTGGAGCAGGATCGGACTCTTGACCAGTGCCGGCTGCTGCTGACGCAATTTTCGGTACACTTCGTCGATTTTCACACGAAAGAACTCTGCTGTAATGATTTGGCCTGGTTGGCCAGCCGCTGACCACCATACAGCAACCATAGCCTTTTTTGGTGGGTTTTAGCGTTTGGGAAGTGCCACCACTGTCCTGGATGTCTCCTGTTGTCGTAGAGCATCAAATTTTCATCACACGAGACGATCTGATCTAAATAAAAAGATCGTTTTGGTTGCGCAAAAGCAAAGAAGAACAGATCTTGAAACGTAACAAATCCTCGTCCTGGATTACTGTAGGTCGACCACTTCGGGGTTCATCTTCGAGGCAAAAATCTCTGGAACGAAATTTAGGAAAGCAACGCCGAACAGTGCGTTTATTATCACTATCATTGCCAAATGCCTTGTAAATTTTTCGGGCTATTTCAACAGTGCTTTGGTTCAATTTGAATTCGTAAGAAAAATTTTCCGAAAATCGGTCAACTATAGTAAAAATAAGAATAAAATTAAAATTTGAGAAAAAATCAACACATGACATTGAAATGAACAAAACTTTTGAAACAACTCAATGATGATAATAAACAACCTAATCCATATTTTTATTTCTAGATGGAAGACAGTGGACTGTCATATTCATTTTGGTAGTAGTTCTGATAATTGTGATATCTTTATTTTATATACTGTGATTATTTTTATCAGTCTTGTCAATTGCATTGTTAGTGAAAACGTCTGTTTATAAGTACAAATTAATTTTTTACCAATCACATTTTTTTAATGGCACATAATATCTTTTTTATGTTAATATTGTACTAGGTATTTTTTAACATAGGTATTATTTATTTATTTTTATTATATACAAATGAAACTAGAATGTTTAAAATAAATAACAATAGAAAATAGGACACATTAGTTTTGGGTGGAAATATGGAAACCTCGTTCATGAATTTGTATTCAAAGTTTCTGAATCATTTCAGATGGGATGTTTCCAATAGTTCTTTGAAAATTTTTAAATTTTTCTTATTTTTATCTTCATCCTACTGATTTTTTTCCTCTGCAGGAATGTCCTTAGATTTGTGGGTGATATAATTTTTCCTTGAATAATAATTAAAAAAAACTTTTCTCTTTAATTAATTTTTGATGTTACAACTTCTGTTCCATTATTAGCAAAATTGTGTCATGATTTTTTCCTCTCTTCGTCCTTTTTCACTTTTTTCTTAAATTTTTGTTCTGTAAAGGATTTTCTTTTTCCTATTTCCTTCATGAAACTATATTTTTCTTTTTCCATCTGATTGTTTTCTTGAACTCCATCAAATAACTATTCCTTTTCATATTTTATGCTTTTCCATATTTAATAGAACAATTTTGTTTATGTTTTGGTCGTTTTCCGGGTTTTGCTATGATCTTCTTTGGTTACAATCTGCAAACGTTTCAACTACGGCAATCATCTTCAGTGGAGTACTCTTCTTGATGTATCAACAGTTAATAAGTATCAACAGTTGATACCAAAACATTGACACCAGCCGTGAAAGTCTACAAGGTCTACTTTTTATATAACTTATAGAAAAAATATTGGCAAACTTCATCATATGATAGTGAATTATTATTTGTTTCTGTGAAGAGCAAACTTAGAATAGAATCCATATTTCTTCCCAAACCAATACACAATACCTTTTTCATCGACTGAACATGTAGGAGAATAAATTTCTTTGAAAAACTGATATCTTCGCATATAATTAATTCCAGTAGAAGTTTCAGGAATCAAATACATTAGAGACTAATCAATACTGATGGTAGTTTCAAAGATGTCATGAGAAAATATCTCTGCTAGTCTTCTGCTAGCTTTTTCAAAGCGAAGATATCATTTGTTAACAAAATACTGGTTAACCATAGTCAAGTAATTTCAATAACCTATCAAAAAAGCTGAAGCGGCTCCTAATGAAAGCTTAAAGTTGTTGCAGAAAAAATAATTTTAATTAATGGTACTGATTGTTAGGTTGTACATTTTGTTGTAATTTTTTGTGTTCATTTTCATGTGACTTCACCAGTTTTTTTGGTCTCTTCAACAAACGAAACCAACTTTTCCAAATCAAAAATCTTTGGATATTCCCAACGGAGTTTTTTTTTTAATTCTGTCAAGTTTTTGGGAATCATTGAGAAATTGTTATCATTAGTGTCATTTCATAATGTTGATAAACTGAAATTTGTTAGCCTTCAGGTCCAAAAAATGTTTCACCTTGAAACCTTTTAAAAAAAATCTGTTTAAAATTGGGTTTTCCAAAAAATATGCTCCAAATAAGATTTCTATATTTGAGACAAGGACCCAGGAAACTGTAACATGTGCCATAACACAATTACGAGTATAAATAGATATTTATTTTGCCATAAACTGGTTGAAGAATTATATAACTACAGGGTTTATCATAAGTTGTGTGATGGATATGGTTGATATTCGATAAAAATCCATGTACTGTTGAATTTTTTAGTTAATTATCAATTCCATCATCATCAGAAAAAATTCAATGCAGAAGAAGCATTCAAAGTCAATCCTGAATCAATTAATTTCCAAGCATTCCAAAAGAACGAGTTTCAAAATTTTCTCCTCCAATTGTAACACATCATGGTCGTTGGCCATCTCATTGAAAAACTACTATGCTCTTATACTCTTTTGAGGAATGTTCTGCCAGCTGACCGATATGAAATTTAGGAAAAGAACCATTTCAACTTATATATTCCCCTGATCTTTGTGACATTGAAGTTTTGCCTTCATTGTTTTTAACAATTGTTATTTACCCTGAAAACAAATAGAAAAAAAAGCCCGATTTGTTTTTGGGTTAATCAAAAGTAAGTCGGTAATCAATACCACTAAATTTCATATTTTGAAGCTGGAGAAACTTGGTTTGTGCTATGAGTTGTAATATCAATATTAAACTTACAAACTAGCGATTTACAATCAATTATACCGAGTTACATAAAAAGATTGGAAAGATTTACTCAGAAATCTCCAATAAAAAAAAAACAATGCTTTATCAAAACTTTCGTCACTTGATTTTTAGAAAAGCGAAGCAAGTTGAGGCTTGCATTCATAAACTTTTCATGAAGTATGACAGTTGCAGGGAAATCGTCCCTTATGATACACCCTGTATAAATAATAGATCAAATTTCATGAAGATAATTATTGAGGTGTTGGTGAAAATGTGAACGTTAATTTTTTGGAGAGTTCTTATGATCTGGTAGAATTACATTGTGTTGCCTCAAAGTATGTGACAAAAATCTGTTGAGGGTTTTCAGAGGATCATAATTTAGTGAAATTTCGGATAGGCTGCACCCGTTAAAAAAAAGAGTACTTACATCTTATTTCACCTTCGTTGACGTTTTTCAGTTCAATAATCAACATTTTTCCCATAAAAACTACAATTCACGGAGCTGTTTTCTGGCGATAAATCTCTCCATTTTACGTTTTTGAGGTTAATGTCATAGTTGGCATCACTTATCAAAATTTCAATTCCAAATCAAGTGTTTTGCCTCCATTATTGAAATTTTCAATTGTTTTTTGGTGCCATTTTATGTGGAGAATGGATTTAAGAAATGAATTAACATTAACGTATAGCAAAATGAACCAAGTCAGTATGAATTGCGGAATAATTTTGATAGTTCAATTTTGTACTATCACTATTATGCAGGATGTTGTCGGACCTCAAAGAGAATGGCCAAACCATAATATTCAGGTTTTGTTATGAAATACTTTCAAATATAGTGAAAGGGTAAAAATATGTCTGTTTTTCTATCTAAACAGAAACAGAGCTCCAATGCTTTTGTACAACTTTTCAGTTAGGATGAAAGCAATGTACCCCGTCTATAACTACTAAGAAACAACTATTGGTTAAACGATGGAAATAGTTTCGACAAATATAATTAAATTGTATATAAAAAATGGAACGGAGCCCTGAGGAACACCGTGAGTTATAGGCTCTAAGTTAGAAATGCTTCCATTCGAGCTAACACACTGCTTTCTATTTTTTAGATATGATTCAAAAAGTTTCAAAGGTTCCCCTATGATACCATAGCGCTGAAGCTATGGAAGTCAGTGACAGTTACCAACCGCTATTCCGAAATGTCACTAGTATATAACCTTAAAATGGAGTGATGTCACCAGAAAACGAATCCTTTGTTGAATCAAGATTTTATAGAAAAAAATGTTGATTATTGAACTGAGAAAGTGACAAAGAGGTGTGTAGGTGATCTGTTGAATAAATACTTGTTTTTGAATAGTTAGTATTGTACAAAGAGAAAGCTGAAAAGTTGCAATTTACGAAACTTTATAGGGCTGTAATTCTGGAAATTTCCCTGGTGCAAAGTCCAAATAATGTTTATTAACCAAGTCTTAGGTTCAACAGTATTTTTTTCGCCGAAAAGCAATACTTTTTTAAAAAACGACATTCCTTTTCATCCATTTTCTTCAAATTAACAAAAGTTGCTTCACTCAAAATGTTCTATCCCACAAACTAATGGTTTGGCTGTGGAATTTGTACACGTGTCATTTGAAGATTGGGGTTAACTAAAAATCAGATGGATTTCATACTAGTATCGTCATCTGTGTGTTAGTCTACGAACTTTTCAGACTACCTAATACTCCCCTGGCTGCAAAGCATGTTGCAGGAGGAGAGGGTGGATGAAAGAATGATTGAAGTGTATGTGGATGCTGGAGCAAGAATGGAAGACGGAAGAATAGGCATAGGCTGGGCGTATGAACAGAATGAGAATGAATGGGTATTGGGGAATGAAAAGATCCCCCTACAAAGCAGTGTGAATGAGACAGAACTGATAGCAATTGAGAGAGTGAGTGGAATATGGGATGTAAATGATGGTGTGTCAGTAATCAGTGATTCTGCTGTAGCTGTGGAACAAATGAAAGTAGGAAGAACGAAGAGCAAGAGTAGCGAGAATCCAACGAATTATTGAAGAAGGGAATGCAAGGGGAGCACGGACTAGAATAATCTGGGACAGAGGCCATGGGAACAACAATCCAGACAATGAAAAAAGCCCATGATGAGCCGGCAGACGAGATGGGCAAAGAAAATATTACCTGGGATATCAGGAAGATGGACAGTGAGAATGAGTAGAGGAAGAGAATCAAAGAATGCACCAGGAAGAGTGGCAGCGGAAATGGGAAGCTGGGACGACTGGGCGGCTGTCCTACAGGTATGACTAATTAAATCTGACGCATACGGCTGTCCAACTACTCGCGGTACATGGCAACTTCCCAGGATACCTTGTCAGGTTTGACCTGGGCCTGGATTTGCCGTTATGGGGAGCCTGAAACGGCAGAGTACGCGATTGAAAGATGCATGGACAGCGACAGGATTAGACGGAGCGACTGAAAAGAAGACATAGAACGAGAAAATGGAGAGGTCACATTAAGAGGAGAGAACGTAAGGAGGAACTGATGGATTCGATTTGTGAATGTAGTGAGGAACGAACGGGAAGGATAACTGGTAAGCTGCTAGCTCACCGCTGCTGATGGAGGGATGGCTGAACTGGGCGTTTGAGCAATAGTCCGGGAGAGGATACTAGGACTATAATAAAACATAAGGCATTAGTTAATGTGATCTATGCCTATATGGTAATCACTCATTTGTATTTATGTATATAGTTTATTTATGAATTATTATTTTTTATTAATTATTAGGTGACAATTAGGGGTACAAGTTTATTTTGAAGAAAAGGTAAAATTCGGAACGTGTTAGAACAAGGAATGCTAAATAAAGAAGGGTCTTCTCTACTCGTTGATTCCTCCCTTCGTGTGGCCGACGTTAGGCGCTTGATACCTGGAGGGGGGGAGTACGGGATTCCTTTGACAGTGGCAGCGCTAGATAGCGTGAAGGTGTCTAGTTGTACGGCCTTTGGACGAGGACAATATAGGCAATGACATTATTCAAGTGCAGCTTATCCAAAATTTCACCTATTCCTGAAATATAATTTTATGTTTTTGTCAAAAATTAATCTACAGACAAACTTTTAAACGTGATTTTGAACCATTTGTTGGTTTAACTTCTGCGGGAGCTCATAGACTATGCCTAATCCAAAATTTAATGATTGTCCTTGAATATCATTTGAGATGTTTAATTTTTAGTTATATGGTCGAATACTCATTCCCAATATAATTACTTGAAAAAACTAGGGAACCAATTCATCACTAACTAACTTTTTTAAATTAGAATTTTCGTTCAAGTTGACATGAACTGAATCTAAATGTAACTAGAAGTTGTTGCACTTTATTTTTTCAGAATACATGCATTGTGTCATGGATTAATTGGTGTTACCAGTGCAATATAGAAAAACTTGAGTTTGAGAGGTTGAGGTTTTTTCCGATTCTTATCCATAGACACAGTGTTTATCGTGTGTTGTGTAATTAGGTTTATGAAATTATATGAGAAATATGTAGTACTCTCCTTTATTGAACATGTAATCTATTAGATCCTGTTATTTATATTGAGAAATAAAAAATAAAAAACTTATTTATAGCAAGTGAAATTGTTTTTCCTTAATCAGAAAGTTCGATTTTATTAGATAAATGATTAATTCTGGAGAAACAGGTATTTTTCCTAAAAACGATTACGATACAATGATAAACTGAAAGGGGTATATTTTTAGGATAGATTGAAAGTTTTTTGCTTCCTACTTCCCTTTCTTTATACAAATAATGTGGAAATTTTCCGAACGAAGGAAGAAAGCAATTAATTCCAAAATAAACTATACAAATATCTGTAGATATCATGCAGAAAAGTCTAGACTTAGGTAATTATTTGAAATAGATTGCTTCTTTCCTTTCTTTGGAAGTAGAAAGCCATAACTTTTCCCAATCTCTCCTAAAATTATACCCCAGGAATTAACAAAGAAGCAGAAATCAAAACGATATCAATAAATACCTACTCTTGGGGTAAACGTTCTTTTTTTGACATAGTAATATATTAGTAGCAACAAAGTTTTTCAACCTTATATAGTTAATATTTGATATCTATGAACATTGTGAAATAATGGCTGAGTCATACACCAAATCTTTTACTTTAAGTTCTCACAATGTAAATCAATGGGAGCATTCATACACCACACTTTTACTACAAAAAATGATATATGCTCCCATTTATTTACATTATGACAAATTAATTAAAAAGTTTGGTTCATGAACCAGCCATAAGAACTTAGTTTAGATGGACATGTACATTCAGTATAATGATGGAAAGTTCTTCACAATGAAGAATAGTGTTGAGAAAATTCAATTTTGAAAGGTTGGTTTTGACTTACCTAAAAGTTCTTGATCAAAATCATTTTATCACTAATATTTTGGGCAAAATCATAAGTTACACCAAATAAAAAAATCACAAAATCTTTACAGTCGCACATTTTCTTAAAACAAATAGTATTCCAAACATGACACACACTCGAGATTCTGATTTGTCATGTTGATGACAATCAAGGCTCACTAGAAAAATTCAGTTACGTTTCAAAGTGCAAAATTGAGATTATTGAAAAAGCTTTTCAGAATGAAATAAAATACGTTATTCATAACTGAATAGATATTAGAAAAAATAATTGATCTAGGACTAGGATCAAGTAAGTTATTGTCTTATACAAAAATGTGAGTTGATATTTACCTTCGATTTCGCGTGTTGACGTAATTCCTTCTGTTGCAGATTAGTCACTACTGTTTGTAGACTGATCCACTGATCTGTCACATGCAAATTGTTTCTCACTTCCGAACTAAATTCAAAACAGTGATAACTTAGAACTAACCATACCTATATAGAACTGACCAGTGACCTGTCATTATCACAGCAAGTATCAAAACATATATACATAGTGAAGTGTATGGTTTTCCTAAAAAAACGTTCCATGACTAAATATACAGAATATTTTATATTTGTTTGTTTGCTGAGAAATTTTCAGCTGTTTTACTTTGTTCAAATAGGTATCTTTGTAAGTTGAAATTATTCAATAAAGTTTTCCAGCAAGTAAATGATATTTGTTCTTCTTGTGAAAGTGTACTATCTATGATTAATTAGTACTTTATTCTGATGAAGGATTTCAAAAATTGCAGCGTTTGTTAAAACTTAGGTTAGATAAAGATGCATAGAAATATTATTTATGCATCTTCAATTAGATTATCTATCCAAAAACAAAGAACAAGTAACGTTTTTCCCTTTCAGTTTCAATGACAATTTTCAGGTGGTCTAGCTTGGTTACAATTGTAACTAATAAATATAATTTATTCAAAAAGCTGTAAAAGTGAAGTAGGCTGGTTTCACTTGCTTGCACCAAAGGCGTACTCCAGATCTAAACTAGGGGTTTGTTTCTTATTTATTTTAACAGTTCGAAAATATTATTGGACACTGACAATAAACAAATTGCTAATAAAACGCTCCAGCTTCGCACGTGTGAAATTAAGAGTTGTAATTTCATTGTGAAACAGCTTAAGTCCTGTTATCACAGAATTTCTTTATGTATAAAAGCTTTTCGTTCGCCCGAATGACGGGATATATAACCAATTTCCCACGTAGATGCCGATCCCTTGGTATATCTAGATGAAAAGTAATAATAATAGCAATATTTATTCAACAATAGAAATATAATAATGACAGCAATTGCTCGAATATCAAAAGGTAATGATTTAATATAGAAACATAAATATATATATAAGTTAAGGCATATGCTAAATATGAATAAATGAAAGGACAAAACCACGAACGAAGAATCCTTGAATGTGGTGAATTTCATCATATATTTTATTTTTCAGTGTTTATAACACAAATGTTTCTGTCACTAAGTATGTAATACCTGAATTATTAACTACAGGAAGCAAAACAGGGAAACAATAAAAATAAATACAGGTCGTTTTTTATCTGTTCCCACTATTGCTGTCTCGAAAACGATAAGACCTAGAAGGTCGGTTAAATTGAACAAAAGTTTCCTAGTGTGTGGGACTAGAATAATCTCTTTTGAGATACTGAATATCAGTGGCTATTTTTGAAATATTCTCAAAAAGATAGAACCTCATATCTCAGAACTCAAAAAGATTGGTACGTCATCTCCACACATCTTTTGAAAATTCACTGTAAAGTAGGTACGTGAATAATCATTTCGATTTGTGTGAATTTGTGAGAGAAATACAATGAATTTTTTTAATGACGAGAAAGTTGATATGCTGTTCGTATACGCGAGATGTTTGAAAAATAGATCTCTGGCTATCTATGTAAAATTGTTCCCTGAGAAACGTCAGCCATCTCAAATATTATATTTTCATCACATCGAGAGGAGTTTACGGAATCATGGTTCATTTAAAAACCCTCGAGTAAGAGTTGTACAGTAACTAATAGGGGTGGCGATACTGAAATTGACGTTTTGGGTAAGTTCAGAAGACATTCTCAGTGATAATAAAAAATGATATTTATTCAATTCAGAATTTGTGGAATACCGAAAAACTGAGAACAAAGAAGTATCACTGAGAGAGATTGCAAATCATAGTGCTATATCGACTAAAAGAAATAAATTTAGACCCTACAAAGTCAGAAAAATCCTCCATTTGCATTAAACGGACTATGATAGGAAAAAAATATTTTGTAGATGGCTACTTGGATAACATCGTTAGGATAATGAAATCTGTGATAAAATGTTATGGTGTGATAAGACTAGATTCACCAATAAGTTTTTAACATAAATATCAATCACTGCCTGCGACAAAAAAACCCTTCCTACATATTTTCAAAAGAGATTTGAGGTTAATGTTTGGTTTGGTGTGCTGGACACCAAGATTATAGGTCTCTACTTTGTGAGACACCTTCGAGGAAGGAATTATATTTGGAATTTGTCGGAGACTCCAGTTGAGTTGTTGGAAGATTTGCCTATGAATATTCTGAGAAAATATTAGTATTTTCAACATGATGGAGATGAGCCACACCGCAGAATTACCAGATTTTCGTATTTGCTGAGATTTTCTCAATACGACTATGCCAGGACGATGGATAAGAAACAATGGTTCTATTAAATGACTACCACGTTTTCCTGACCTGACCCTTCTGGACTGCGGATATTATGTGTTCGAGGAACAATGGACGGCAATTTGAACATTTGATGAGATATCGTGGACAACGTAGATGGTTAGGATTATTTTTACATTGATTTTCCATACTGAAATGAAGGAATTATGAGCCTTCCATGTGTTCGTGCACCAAAAGTCCGATGATATCTGCTGTCGACTGTGCCAATTCAGTCGCTGAAAAATATAATCCTCGAGGTCCCGCTTTACAGAGCGTTAACGGTAGACGAAGCAATTTCGCATCTATAAATAAATTGCTGATTCATAAGCATAAATGACATTATCCATTTGTTTTTAGACGGTCAATGCACCGCTCGGATTTTCGAATTCAGGGTCGTATTACTGAAGGAATAAAGGGACAGTTTTCATTATTTTTGAGGTACCATATCACAGAGAATGACAGAAACATAATCTTTCCAAGCATTTTTAAAATAAAGCGTCGGTTGCTGTAGTTAATGACCGACTTTGTCAATAAGATACTAATCTTCCGACAATAAAGCATGTGTTGATTGATTGATATGCACTTTTCAGTGAGAGGCATTACGAAACATCAATTCAGAAATATAATCTTGTGGAAAAGTTGAAAGGAGGGATCACGATCTGTTGGAGGAATCTAGACGTGAGACGTGTGTGGCCAATGTAAAGTATTTTCACTAAGACTTGTTTCCTGCGAGTCAGATTTTTTGAAAGTCTACAGTCTACACGGCTTGATGAGGAGTTTTTGAGTTTTTAAATTTTTCTCTAATTAAATTCTAATCCTGCTGTCAAAGATCATTAATTTATGGTTTTAAGAATGGCTTTATATCTTCAGAGGCATAATCTCAGCTTCATCGATATCTGCTTCAGTTGCAAGTCGAGCAGCTCGACTGGTATAATCATTTTCATTTGTTCCTATTCCTATATATCTACCAAGGTTTTCAAAAATCACTAATAGTGTGAAGAGTGGCCAGAATTATTATTTGCGTTACTGGATCTGCCAAAAATATGTGAGTTAGGATTCAAACAGCGCTCAGAGAGTTTATGCATATTATGAAGTGTTCTCTATCTCCAAGTAACGCAGGGCTTGTCATATTCAATACAATTCGGCAGTGTGACACTAGGAATCTGTCTAACTAGGTGTGTAAAAAGCAGAGCCTACTCCAGAGCTCGTAACCTCATATGTTTCGAGATGAACTCTTGGGAGATTTCTTGAAATTTTTCACAAACCTAATATCATTATTATGTTTTTAATAGATCCAGTCTCAAGTCTCGAACCATAGCCGAAATGCCCACAGTTTGTTATTTGTGAAAACAACCATTTTGTTAGTATAAACTGATTGAAATCGTAGAAACTCTTCAACTAACAACATACGAACATTGTAAACTGTCAAACGATAGTAATACGTCATCAATCGGTCTCAAAATTTAAGAAATTGTCGAAGACTCACGTTTGTATAGCTATCTTGTTGGAAGTACCGAGTGCAACTCATTATTCAAACAAGAGCTCTCGTTGATTGAAAGTAAATGTTAACTGCTTTGAGTATTACTGGAGTTTTTTCCCCAACACCAAATTGTTATTGATCAACGGAAGATCAAGCTATTTACAGTTTGACCTTCCTCTTGAAGATGATCACTTGGTGATCGAAACATGTGTCGAGGTGTTAAAAAACCGGTTTGGTGTTGGAATAGAACTCCAGTAATATTCATTACTACACCAAAGTTCCAAACAGTATATCAAAAGTTGACTGCTTTGTCTTGCTTTTTCACTTGAAGAAAAAAAAAAGAAATCATGTTTCCATAACATATTAGTGTGATCAAAAGGTTTGTAGGTACCGTGGGTATTGATAGATGTACTCGTATATGTCCTCAGGCAACTCACAAATCGTCGAACTACAGGCGTTTGGGTTTTTTGTATATACACTTGAGATAATGCATCATTACATATTCAAAATCAGTATAAAGGCTAGTTCATGTTGGAACGAACATCGCATAAAAAGTGCGATTTAAAATGGTGTCGTGTTTATCGTAAAAAAGTTGAAAAAATTGACCTTTTTTGCGATTTCCGCAAAATGTTATACGTCAACATACCAAAGTAGTTATATTGCTTTGATTCTCGTTTTTTAGGCCCATACATCGAAATTGAATCCGAAATGGACCAATCTTGTGGCTGAAATAAATGGGAATTAGTGATCCAGAGAAATATTTCAACTATTTCAGGCTCACTCTCTCATTATTCAATAAATAAATGAATTTGGTTGGCCCCTCATTAAAGAAAACTCATTTTGCAAAAGAACCCCTCGCCCCTGCAGGCAGAAACGTTAATATAAGTGGTTTGAGGACACGCTTCTATTAAACAAAACTTGAGAAAATTGTTAGTCCTATATTCTGATATGATGGGGTCTGGTCTTAAAAGTCGTAATTCGTATGAGTCGTATGTCATCATTCAGGTGCATGTAATAAAATTTAAAATTCAACAATGAAATCCCTAGATATTGCCGCTTCAACATGAACAGGGAATTTTGACAATTGAGGAAAATTTGTGGAACCGCAAAAATTTTATCGCAATCGTTCTAATATGAACTCGCCTTAATCCCTATAACCAACGACGTCGTAATATAGACTGGCCTTTGAAAAGAGACCATTGACTCCAACAACTAAAAAAGAAGAAGAAATTCAGATACAACGTGTCACGATATTTTACGTGTTACATATTTTTACCATGAACATTTTGTGATCTGATTTTTCAAATGATCCTGTGACGCAAAAAAGAGTACATAAATAATATAATAAATAGAGAAGAGCCCGGTCTATCAAATGTTATACCTCTTTTAAATACCATGTAAAA